TTTAATAATAGTAATATTAATAATATTAATAATAACGATAATATTAATGATAAACAAGCAAAAAAAAATTTGTAGTATGCAAAGTTCAAGGCGCTACTCTTCTGAGCGAGGTTTCCACTGATGTGCAAATAAAAAAAAAAACAAACAAACAAAACGACAGACATTAAAATAAACACACATAAGTGATATACTAGTTGCTTCAAAATGCTACCAGCTCGTAACTTAGCGGCAAAAAAGGAGAAAAAACAAGAAAAAAAATTATACGAAAAAAATCGCAAAAAAGAAGTGAAGACGTCGTTTTAGAGTTAGATTGAACGTGATAGCACTATTTTAGAATATCGATTGTTATAAATCTGAATATTCCTGAATGTACTACTTTTATATCTGTCGTGCCTAGATGCCTGTGGAACGCATTCGCAAGAATCGCCTCTGCCAGAGGCCTACAATTAAGAATCGTTAAAACAAAAGAGGAAGAAGATGAAAAAAAAAAGAGAGAGAAAGGAATAATAAAGCAACGAGATTGTAATACGTGACGTTACCGAATAGTGTGTAATCGACATCCACGAATTTTTGTTCAAAGCACGCTTACACGAACGTTGCATCGTTGTCTCGTCAGTTTTTGCGGTTAAATTGAGTGATGAAGAAGAAAAAAAAGAAGGAAGTGAAACGTTATATGCCAGTGTCGCTGACAAATAACAAAAAAAAAAAAAAAAGAAAAACGAAATGAGAAGGGGAAGAAAAAGCGAATGATAAAAACAAATGATGAAGTTTAAAGAGAAAAAAGGAGAAGAGCAATTTAAGCGAAATACATTTAGTCTTTGCGCTGCTGGCAGGCTGTTATGTTTAAACATTGTAAGGGATGAACTTGTTGAGAATAGAAATACGATTAGCACTTATTATTAAAATAACGGAAATTAAAACCAAATGAGGTAAATATAAAAAAAAAAGGAAGGAAGAGCAAATTATTTACTAATATTAATAATAATAGTAATAATAATAATAATAATGTTCGAGAGAAGCGCCTCTCTCGGATAATGCATGTTTTGAGGTATCGTCTCTTACTGCGTCTATTCTTTCACCATTGTATCATCTAAGATATATTTTTGGAGTTTACGAATTTCATAGTAGGTCGGGAGACTTAAATTTTCTCGTGCTTTAAAACTTCTGAAGACTGTTTACTGGCTGGCTCATCGTTGGTCGAGTATTATCAAGTTTCTTCGACTTCCGTTTACGCACTACGCCAGGCTTAAATTGTATAAAACGAATTAAAAAAGGAGGAAAATGAAGGGCAAAATAAGCAGAAGGAAAGCAAGGAAAAAAATGAAATTTAATTTCATTCATTGTATAGAGATCGTTTTCTTGTAATACACGTATGGGTTACCTCGAGTAAGTTTCAAGGTTCATTTTAAGCAATGTTTTATACGTTTTTTATGATAAGAGAATCAGCCAACAATCG